GTGTGCTGTGATCGGTTAGCTGGGCCAGTGTGTGCTGTGATCGGTTAGCTGGGCCGGCGTGTGCTGTGATCGGTTAGCCGGGCCAGTGTGTGCTGTGATTGGCAGCACTCGGCGCCTGGTCGGGAAATGTCATGCCTCTTACCATGGCCGCCTGCGAGCTTCAGTGTAAATATTGCGTCAAAATCAAATCAATTTGAGCGCGATTTAAACCCGGATGATTGTAAGCACTCTAAGTTCGTCTGTCTTGGGAACTAGTCTAATCAGTGTATTCAAAGGTTGTCAACACTGGGTCTCATTCACTAATAATTATGTGAATTACAGAAAATATTTTTTTATTACTATTTAAAATAATGTTTTTCTAGTTTAATTATACTTTCAAATATAATTTATTACTGTGATCAAAACTGAATTTTACATTAATTCTGCATATGAATTGTAATATGCTGATGTATTATCAATGTTGAAAACAGTTGTGATACTTATTTTTTTATTATTATTATTTTTAAACCTGTGACACTTTTTTTAGGATTCTTTGATGAATAAAAAGTTCAAAAGAGCAGCATTTATTTATAATAGAAATCTTTTCTAACAATATACACCACCGTTCAAAAGTTTGGGGTCAGTGGTTTTTTCTTTCTGTCTTTTTTGAAAGAAATGTATACTTTTATTCATTGAAGATGCATTAAAAGAATCAAAAGTAACAGTAAAGTTACAAAAATGCTTTCTATTGTAAGATTTATATTTCAAATAAATGCTGTTCTTTTGAACTTTCTATTCATCTGTGAATAATGAAAAACAAAATGCATCACAGTTTTCACAAAAATATTGTGCAGCACGACATTGATAATAATCAGAAATGTTTCTTGAGCAGCAGATCAGCATATTATACTGATTTCTGAAGATCATGTGACACTGAAGACTGGAGGAATGATGCTGAAAATACAGCTGCACATCACAGAAATACATTACAGCTTAACACATATTCACACAGAAAACAGCTGTTTTAAATTCTAATAATATTTCAAAATTTTTACTGTATTTCTGATCAAATAAATGCAGCTTTGATGAGCAGGACAGGCTTCTTTCAGAAACATACTGATCACAAACTTTTTGGCAGTGTATTTTGTGTGTGATGTTTGCGTAGTTATCCTGCATTTAGAAAAAACATAGAAACAACTGAAATCACATGAACACTAAAACATTTTTAGCACGAAAGCTTTTGATTGGAAAGCGTTTGTGCTCAGATTAGGTTGATGTGTGTGTCATGTGGTCAGTGAATGAGAGCCAGTGTTAACAGCCCTGCGTCTCTCAGCAGAGCAACAGGTGTGGCACCTGAACGCAGCTGAGATGTCCGTACTGAGCCGCCACATGCACCGCCGTGTTCCCGTTCTGATCCGCCTCGTCCAGAGAAATGGCCTGTTCCTGCATGAACTGCAGCAGCCACAGCAGCACCCGCTCCTGTAACACACACGTGATCGATGAGTGAGTGAGTGAGTGTGAGAGTGAGTGAGTGAGTGAGTGAGTGAGTGAGTGAGTGAGTGAGTGAGTGAGTGAGTGAGTGAGTGAGTGAGTGAGTGAGTGAGTGAGTGAGTGAGTGAGTGAGTGAGTGAGTGAGTGAGTGAGTGAGTGAGTGAGTGAGTGAGTGAGTGAGTGAGTGAGAGTGAGAGTGTGTGTGTGTGTGTGTGTGTGTGAGTGAGTG